CGAACTGCTTCCGCCGCCACTTCCCGAACTGCTTCCGCCGCCACTATCACTTGCCTGAATACTTACATAACCATTTCCATGATCACTTGCCTGAACGCTTACATGAACACTCGCGTGAACACTTCCCTGACCATTTCCTTGACCATGCGGTTCACTGCATGCATGGCCACAGGTGGTTGGGCAACATTTCTGTGTGTCAGGACACTGGCCATCATGGAAACAGCTTTCAGCACATGCATGAATGTTCTTTGGTTTGGGACATAGACCCGGCTTCACTGCATAGACACAGATAGTCAGCTTTAGTCTGTGCATATAGACTGTGTGCCACTTCAATATACACTAAGAAACATGCAAAGAACAAATAGCAAGTTTTACCTACAGAGTGAATAATAATCTAAGGATCATTCCTCTTTATTTTCTAAAGCCATCCCGCTTAAAACAGTCCTAAGGGATGAATTCAAGCCTACTTTTGATGAGAAAAGGCTCAAATAATTTATCATTGTTATTAACAAGTGACCAAAACAATATAACGCATACCTGTATACGGAGCTGTACAGTAATGTTCACATCCATTGCTGCAGCACTTCTCATTGTTAGGACAGTCAGAGTCACTGTTACAGGACGTGGTACACGATCTTCTTCCAGAGGTTGGGGGCGGACACAGTCCTGGCTTCATCACTGATTGCTGAATAATTCTATCCACTTATGATTTAAAAAAAAAAAAAATCATAACACTTCAGTCTCTGCTTAAAAGCTTACACTGAATTCAATGCGTTACTTTTTTGGGGGGGATTTTGTTTTGTTGGAGGACTCCTAGCATCCATTAACTCACTGGAAACAGGTGGCACACACACAGGCCCCGACTCAAATATACAGCATTTGTCTCCTCCAGAGCAGTCTCCATCAGTAAAACATCCTTGACGGGACGGCACGACAGTCAGCTTCATCGGACAGAAACCGGCCACCATTGTTGGGAAGGTCACTTGGAAATGTAATAGGTTACAGATTGCAAGTTATCCCATTTAAAAATGTAAATCAGAGAAAACACCACTGAACTTTTACATTACAGTCTCTGCTTAAGCTTACTTTGAATTCAATGGGTTATTTTGACACTTTTTTTTGGGAGGACCCGAGCATCCATTATTAACTCACTGGAAACGGGTGGCACGCACACGGGCCCCGACTCAAATATACAACATTTGTCTCCTCCAGAGCAGTCTCCATCAGTAAAACATCCTCGACGGGACGGCACGACCGTCAGCTTCATCGGACAGAAACCGGCCACCATTGTTGGGAAGCTCACTTAGAAATTTAATAAATTACAAGTTACCCATTTAAAATTTCAATTACTTTGTTAAAGTAATGTAACTTACATTTGATTACCTTCCTAAATTGCTAAGAAATGTTTTCAACTCAAGTAATTTTGAAACATTTAAACCACGCAGGTTTAACATTACTGTAGTATTCAACACTGATTATGGTCAGACTTTCAAAAAGGTCTTAAAAAAAAAAATCACTTGAATTAAGATAAAAAAAATTTAAAAGCACAGCCACCACACACACACAAAAAAAGCACCCCTTTTTACTTTGAGATTGTTCTCTAAAAGTTTAAATAGACATTTAAAAGCATAAGAAATATTTTAATAGCTATGATACAGTTTGACATCAAATTTTTGCATAGTTATGACAGGAAATTCTGGCATCTAACAATGCCTTGGGAAGAAAAAAAATCTAAAGCACATAAACCCAAATAGGAAATGAAATGGGCTAGTTATCAAATAAGTATGTCCTATTCGGTGTCCAGACTCCTGAAACATTATTGTCTCACATTTTAGAGTTACTTTCAAAGACCGAGAGTCACTTATTTCTGCATTTCTTCAGGCTGTGTAATGAAGTGAACAGATCTTCTCACCTGTGGCGTCTGTTATGCTCAAGTACCCAGACAGACCCGATAAAAAAGCAATCAACGAGCAGTACACTCGAACTGTCATCCTCCCGACCTCACAATGATCTCTGCTGGAAAATGCGCTGAATTGGTGCGTCAGGAAAAATGGACAGCGAAGCGCACTAAACTAAAACAAATAGCCGTGTCACTGCAACATAAACCGCTGTAAAATGGGGTTTTAAAAACCCAAGGAGATCAGGTCAACTCCAACCCTGATCAAACTCACCTGCC